TTCACTTTATTGCACCTTGCAGATACTGCACTTTTTACAAATTGAAGGTTTGTGGCAACTCTGCATTGAACAAGTATCTTGGTGCCATTTTTCCAATAGCATTTGAATATTTCTTGTCTCTGTCACATTTTGGTAATTCTCACTGTGTTTCAAACCCTCTGCTAGCAAAAAGATTATGACTTGATAAAGGCTCAGATGATGGTTAGCATTTTTTAGCAGTAAAGTATTTTTTAATTAAGTTATATGCATTGTTCATTTAGACATGATGCTATTGCACACTTAATAGACCACAGTATAGTGTAAACATAACTTTTATATGCACTGGGAAACCAAAAAATTCATGTGACTCGCTTTATTTTAATACTCACTTTTTTTGCAGCGGTGTGGAATTGAACCTGCAGTATCTCCGAGGTATACCTATAAACAGTCACTATTTCTCCCAAGAATCATTCTCTGTAAGATGTAAGGAAAGGGCCCAACTTCATTCTTTTGCATGTGGTTATCCAGTTGTTCCAACATTTCATATTTCTTAATACTAGCTAACATTTTCTTGCTTATTGTATGCCTCCCTCCCACGAGAATGTAAGCTGCATGAAGGCAGGGAACACATTTATCAGGTTCATCACTTTTCCACTTACTATTGCTATGTAACATGTTGCCCCCAAATTTAATCGCTTGAAACAACCATTTTATTATGTTTATAGATTCTTTTCGCTTGGGATTTGGGCGAGGCACAGTGAGAATGGTTTATCTCTGTTCCATGTTGTCTGGTGCCTCAGCTGGAAGCTTCAACAGCTGGAGCCCAATCATCTGTAGGCATCTTTACACATGAGTCTGGCAGTTGATGCTGGCCATCAGCTGGGTCTTCAGCAGGGGCTATTGACCAGTCATTGCGTGTGGTCCGTTTATATGGCCTGGTGTTTCCTAAGAGAATGGTATCTTCAGGTAGTCAGACTTCTTACACAGCCGTTCAGGACCCCAAAAGCTAGTGCTCCAGTGCAAGGCAGAAGCTTATTGCCTTTTCTGACTTGCATCGGAAGTCAAGTAGTGTCAGGTCTGCTTCATTTCTTTTGGTTAAAATGACTCACTAGCTTTCCCACATTCAGGGGAAGGGGATGGACTCCACCCTGTGGGAGATGTTGCAGCCTTCTTTGGAAAATACAGTATGCCACAATCACTGCATCTTCATGCCTGTAAATATTTATTGAGTGAGTACTGAGCACTGTGGTACTATTTTCACAGACGTTTATCTCACATAATCTTTATAACAGTCCAATGTGATGGGTGCTGTCAGCCTCTTTAACAGATGAGAAAACTGATACTTAAAAGTGTCCTGTCACCTTTTTTTATTTTACCTATAATGGGATCATTTAAAGTATCATTGTTGGTACTGAAGGCAGTGACTAGACATGGTTGTTATTGTTTGCTTGGATTCATTAAAGAGGTATTTTTTCAGTTCTTACTATATTTTTAATATTATTTAGGCTCTGTCATAAAACAGCAAACCTGACAGATAAGGTCCCTCCCATCATTAACTTAAACAAGGTAATTTAAGGTTATAAAAATGCTGTGAAGGAATTAAAATAGATTAGGGAAGGCAATATAGACTATGCACTGTATTCATCCAAGGGAAAATTATGAGTGAACTGATCAGGAGGGAAAATTAATGAATTAAAATAAGAAGATGAGAAGGTATAGTTAATTGTGTGTAGGAAGTGCATCTTGTAAGAAGTCATACATATTGTCATTCATATTTAAGAATATTTTGCGTGTTTTGTTGGTAAGATGTTTGGCATAATAAAATTAGATGAACCTGCTCTGGAGATTCAGAAATTATGCAGAAATTTTATTTTTAAAGGGTTTGTGCAGTTTTGACCTTCTTGTTAATATAAGAGAACTGGGTTGATATGGGGTGCACAGAGGACAATGACTGGTGATATAGGCAAGAATGTGAGTTATTGATAAAAGATAAAGCATTTAGCCAGCAAGCTTGAAAGCATCCTGGGCGGAGTCCCTGCTGTTCATTTCTACTGGCATGTCCTAACTAGCATAAATAAACCAGAATGTTTGTAAATCTGTGTGCCTCATCTTTCCTAACATAATTGCTGCGTGGACAGAAACACTAAAGAGAACAAGATAGAGGAATCAACAAAAATGCTGAATAGGGCATGTTTTTTCCTCAGGATGCTTATAGTCTAGTGGGAATGGTAGAAATATAAACTAAATAGTTAGAATATAGTGTGGTGAGTGCTATAATAACAGATACGGAATAGGTTCTGTTAGAACTTAAAGAGGGGAGGGGTGCCCTGCTGGCCTGGTGGTGGTAGGGAAGGCTTCACATAGGTGATAACTGAGCTGCTGTTGTGATGAGAAATTAGCTGGCTGAGGTCTGAGAAGAGCATTCTAGGCAGAAGGAGGGGCTTACAAAGGAGCCAGGGGAACTGCAGAGTGTTTCTTGCACTGAAAATAGTATGAGTTTGGGAGAATGGTGAGAGATACAGGGGCCAGAACAAGAAAGGTCTTACATGTCGCTGCTAGGGAGTTGGAGTTGCTCCTTAGAAGATGGAGCACTACTGTAAACTTTCAAACAAGGAATAATACTTCAGATGAGAATAGTCAACTACCTTTTTAACAACACTTGATGACTAGTAGACACCTCAGGTTTAACATGCCTTCAAACTTAATTCCTCATTTCTCCCCCATGTCTCCTGCTTTTCTCCATCTCAGTGAGTAACAGCTTTTTTTTTTTTTTAGTTGATTAATATAATCATCCTTGACTTCTCTTTCTCTCATACCCTTCGGTCAATCCATCAGCAAACCCTGTTGTTTCTCCCTTTAAGATATACCCAGAATTCATCCACTAACTACTACCTTCATTGCTGCCACCCCTAGTCTGAGCCACCAGCATCTCTGGCCTGGATTACTGCAGTAGCCTCCTAACTGGTCTCCCTGCTTCCTTCCTTGCCCCTCGACAGTATATTCACATGGGAATCAGGAGTGCCCTGTAAGGTGAGATCATCTTATTTCTGCTCTAAACCTTCTAGTGACTTCCTTGCTTAAAGTCCTGCATAGGGCCATGGAGCCCTGCATGTCTGGCACTTGGCTCTTCTCCCCTGCTTCCTTATTCAGCACACACACCCATTTCTATTCCTTGGACATTGCTTATGTTCTTGCCTCAGAACCTTTGCATTTGCTGTTCTTTCTGCCTGGAACCTTCTTTCCTGAGATATCTGCATTGGTGGCTCTGTTACTTCCTGCAGGGCTCTGCTCATGATGCCTTCCCTAATCATGTAATAGCAAAACTTCTTCAGGCAGTTCTCCTAATTCTCCTAATCTTTTTTTTTCTCCTATAGAGTCTGACATATTTTGTTTGTTTATTCTTTGTCTCTCTTTTCTACAATGCAAACTCTGAATGGGTAGGAGCTTTGGTTTTGTTCACTGCCCTATCCTCAAGGCATAAAACCTTAAGTAGCCACTCAGTAAAGTTTTGTTGACAGAATGACTTCATTTGCATTTTAAAAATTTCACCTTGGCAGCCTTGTGGATAATGAATGGGAAGGGGGTAGGAAGAGGAAATTAACACTTGGAATTGAAATGGTCCAGTCAAGAGATTTGGAGGGCATGGAGTCAAGAATTACTTGGGAGGGATAACTGACAAGATCTGACAAATCACTGGACAGGGAGAAGTGAAGGATAATGACTCCCAGATTTCTGGCTTGGGTAGTTTGAGCAGATGATGTTGTTGTTGGGAATAAATGAAGCCATAAGGATGAATGAAATGGATCAAGGAGAATATGCAGTAAGGTGACCAATCATCCTGGTGTGTCCAGGACTGCCGGTTTTAACACTGCAAGTCCATGTCTCAGGAAACCCTTCAGATCCAGGCAAACCCAGATCATTGATCATTCTAATATAGAGTGTGAGAAGGTAGCTGAAGACACAACCCCAACAGTTTAGGAAGGAGGAGGTAGTCAAGTCTGTGCCAGAAATGGAGCAGAGGCAGTTAGAGGGGTGGCAGGACACTCAGTGAGGCATTGGATCAAGGAAGTCAAAAGAGTAGCCAACAGTGTAGGTTGAATTTCCCTTGGAATTTTTGTTTCCAGCCATCTTGGCAGAAGTATGACATGTCATAGAGGCTCAGTGTTTCTTGAAATAAAAGACACAAATGATGTGTCAATTTGGTTGATGTTTCTATTAAATTTTTAAGTTATTGAGGGGAGTCAGCTTCTGATGCTAGCTGGATTGTAAGGATAAAAATGAACTTAGGGATGATACTAAAAGCAGCATTATTACTACATTGGATGTTTTGTAATCTCAGGTTAATGAATACTAAGCAGTGTGAGTAAGCTCTTACATTCTGCAGTTCTGGAACAGCACTGAATATGAATGATCATAAAATTGGAATTTCAGAGCTGGACACTTGTGATCATCTCCATAGTGGTTCTTAATGTTTTGGAGTAATCTTTTTGTGAATCTTTGGAAAACTCTGAACTATTTCCACCTTCTCCTCAAGAAATACATTTTGCTTACAGTTTTGGGCAGTGGAGGGTTATGGATGGCCACAGGAATCCCAGGTTAAAAAAATTGCCCATCTAGTGGATCCCTCCCAAATAATACCTCAGGATATGGAGGCCTGGAAAAACGAAGTAATTTATCCAGGATCACATAGCTAGATAGTGACTGAACTTTTTCTTGATTCATTATTCTATCCATTGTGTGGCTTTGCCTCTGTTTTAATGTAGGCTCAGTCTCTCTTGACCTATTATTATATTTCTTTTATTTCAGTTGCTTGGTCACTGTGCCAGCTCAATATAAGTTGACCACAACCCCTATGTTCCATCCATCTTTTTTTAACTCTCTGTCCATGAACAGAGCAAAATTACTCTGTAGAGTATTTGATGGACTGTCAGATTTAATATATCTAACTTTTAAGTCATGAATTAAGAGTTGATGAGGTAAACTTTTCCTAATGACTTACTTGTGCCTTTTGTTTGGAACAGGATGCTGTATGATTATGTTGAAAGGAAGCGAAAGGAAAATTCAGGAGCCCAACTGCATGTCACCTATTTAGTGTCTGGCAGTCTCATTCAGAATGGACATTCCGTAAGTTCTCAGAATCTTATAATGAGTTTAAAAGTGTTTGAGCCATCAAGTGTTACATAACACAGGGCAAAAAATAACAACAAGATTCGGTATTATGGAAGTCTTACAAAGCTGCTTGAAGATGATGATTATTTTGGATTTTTAGTCTAAACCTAAAACTTTGAGAAGTTTGGGTAATATCTTGGCTATGATGCAGAGACTATGTCATTATTGTACAATTTTCCTAGGCAAAAAGACATTAGGAAACTGCTTCTGTTATTCTTCTTTCTTACTTTTTGAAGGTATGTTGGGGACAAGTACAAATTTTATATTTTATTAAGTGAACTTGATTTTAATTTGAGCTTTCACCCAGAAGCTCTGCTGAGATAACTCCATTCCTTCTCCTGCACCAGACTGATCCTTGGGAATTTTGATAATTCCTCATCTCTTGCTTCCTTCCCAAACTGAGGTACACCTTTTCTGTTCTCACTTCCCACACCTCTTACCTGAAAGTTCTTTGCTCCCACACCACCACCACCTGCCCTACAGAATTTTGCTCAAGGATCTGAGTCCTTCTCAGAGATTCAATGATACATATTTTCCTACTCCTTTTTGACTTTCCCTAAGACTCATAAGTTCAGAAGCCAGATTTGTCAAAATACTGACTGGATTTGACTTGTATCAACAGTCTCACGCATGTGAGATTTAAAACTGGAATGGCAATTTAGTAATTTACAAGGAGAAGCAAAACTTGCTAGGGGTATCAGATCCTTATGACCAGCATATTCTGTCCTTGTTGGTAAGCTATTTGGTAAGCCAGATGAAAATCGGGATATTTGCAAGTGTAGATGGATTCAGATGTCATTATGTATCTGAAACAAGATTAGGTAGACCTGATTCATTTGCTCTCAGAAATAAACCTGACCAGAATCCTCTCCCTGTATGGCTCTGGCGTGGTTCCCGCTGAAGTTTGCATCTGAATGTCTTTCCTTTGTTTCCAGGGTTAACTAACCCCCTTCTATTTCAAGAATTTCTGGAATTTAGCCAAAGCCTTCCTTTTAGTCATATAGTCAGTTCTTTACCTGGGAATCATTGTGTACCTTTAAAACAGTGGGCATTACTCTTTTTTTGATCACTGATTCCTTGAGAAAGAGTAATGTATATGTTCACACATCCATAAAACTTTTAGCGTTCACAGACCTTTGGAACAAAGGTCCAAGGTTAAGAATTTATGTTTTAAGATAGAGTTATAGAGTTTTAGTCTAACCCATATGACAGAGGTTCTTAATTTCCGATCCTTGGATGGTCTTCAGGGTTCAGGGGATTCTTAGATGAACCCCTGAAAGTACATTCGAATTGTATTCTTCAATGCATTTTTTGGAGACTTTTTCAAAATGATATGTAACACATAATCAGTTAAAAACTTCTATGCTTTGGCTTGCTTATGTAAGACCTTCTGTTTCTAAATTTAAGAGGGCATTTAAATTCTGCCTACCTTTTTTAAAGCAGCAGTATGCTTTATCAAATGAAGGTTTTTTTTTCATTTATTTATTTTTTATTGAGGTATAGTTGATTTACAATGTTTTGTTCCTAGTGTACAGCATAGTGATTCAGTTACACACACATATATATATTTTTTCATATTCTTATTTATTATAGGTTATTATAAGGTATTGAATATAGTTCCCTGTGCTACACAGTAGGACCTTGTTGTTTATTTATTTTATGTATAGTTTATATCTGCTAATTCCAAACTCCTTTCCCTCCCTATCCCTCTCCCCCTCTGGTAATCAAAAGTATCAAATGAAATCTTAACTGGAATCCTAAAATATAAAATATATTAATAGTAGAGTTGCTGTGGTTGAAGTGGTTGTTGGAATTTTGAAGCCCTGTCCTGTGGAACCCTGTAAAATTACTGACGAAGTGTGGATGCTTACCCATGCTTTCTTCCTTAAAGAGAGCCCACCTTAAAAAAAAAAGCAGATTATTGAGCATAATGTCAGCTCTTCCAATGTCAGGTTCTACTTTCTTTTTTAAGTTTTAAGTGTTTCTAGAAAGAAAAAAGACACAGGCTTTATATGGATTTTTCAGCATGTAAATGATTTTTATTTTTTCCAATGATCATTATTATTGTAAAAAAAAATGCTTAATAATACATAGACAGTACAAGCCTCCTTCTCATCCATCCCATCCTGGAGAGTCTTCCAGAGAGTTATTTGATAATTTCACAGAAATGTTTGGTTGACTCTTTTTGTGTTGTTAGAGGTTATCAGCCTGATTCATCCTTTATGAAGTTCCGTATTAGCTTTTCTTTAGCTGAGATTGATTTTATTGTTGCCTAAATCATTAATTCACTAGGAGTTACAAAATGGTGATGTTCTACTTCTATCATTCCTTCTGGATTTATTGGCTGAATTTTTCTATAAAGAAGAACTATCTCATATCAACCCACCTGTATTTTTCCTTTTTCTTTAACTGCCAAAAAGCTCAAAGGGCTTGCCCCCAGCCAGGGTCTGGGTTTCTGGATGCTGAACTTACTCTCTTAACAGGGACCCACTGATTCAGAGCTCCACTCTGGTCTGTGTTGTTTTAGCAGTGGCACTTCCACGTGTTGTTTTTATGCATTTCTCTAATACTCCCTAAGGTAGCATTTAGTCACGCTGAACTGTCTGGGCTGCCATATTTTCTCCTGAGGGTGCCAATTATTGTTTCTAGGACTCCTGTTACAAAGTTACATAGGTTTGAGTGATTAGTTCCTAATGTTGGTTTTTCTCATAAGCTTTGTAATTTTCATGTACAATTTTATAGAACATGACATTTTTAAGAATGCTTGGGGTTTTTTTTTAAGAGAATATGTGTTATGAAGATATACTAATATTCCCAGTTCAAATTTACAGTTATACTTTTTAAAAACTTACTTTTAAATTGCTCTTTTTTTCTTATGTTGTAAACTTTGGTGGTTCCTAACATTAGCATTAATATGTGGTTGCTTTAGCCAAATATATGAGATTTAGAAAAGCAAAACCAATAGTTTTACTAACAATATGACTACTGAAAACAGCTTAAGATCTCTTTGCAGTTCTTTTTGTCTGTAGGCTATATCTACTAGGGATGTACAATCAGCCTGTGTTTTAGGATCACTTGAAATAATTTCGCTCTGTAGTTAAGCCACCAACTCAGTATCTAATTAAATTCAGTTTTTCCCCTTTCAGTTTTTAGGTTCCCTCCTTTCTCTTATAGGTAACTTTTTATTAGTTTTGTGTTGTCCTTCAATTGTTCTTATTGTTGTATTTTTTTAATATAAGCAAATATGTGTTTATATTATCCTTCTTTTCCCAGATAGAAGTTTTCATTCTTTACACTCTATTTTGTACTTTTTTTTTTTTAACCTACAGTAGATCTGGAGCATCACTCCATGGCAGTTACAGATATATTTCTCATTCCTTATTACAGCCACATGATCCTACATTGATAGGTATACCTTAGTTTATTCAGTAGTCTCTTATTGGTAGTTAATTTGAGTTATTTACAGTCTTTGCTTATTACGTTTAGTGCTGCAGTGTATATTTATTTTGTATATTTTTGCCTGTGTTTTAGGGTTATGTTCCTAGAAGTCAGATGTATATGAACTTCACTGGGTATTGCTAAATACTTCTCCATTCTTCATTCCTACCAGCAACATATGAGAGCGCCTGTTTCTGCACAGCATGTGTGGTCCTGTTTCAGGGTCATCAGCATTTCTCCTCTATTAGCTGCTCTTCATACCTCTTGCCTATTTTCCAAAGGATTGTTAGTCTTTGTTTCCTCTATTTTAGAAGCTACATATTAACTCTTTGTGATGTAGGTTGCAGATAGTTTTCCCACTTACTTTTGTCTTTTTACTTAAGTTTTTTGTCATCCAAAAATGATTTGTTAGTTTTTATGGATTATTTCAGTTACCTCTGAATTTTTCCTCATTCTCAGATTATATTAGCTATGGAAGAATTCACCCATATTTTTTTCTTTTGCATATCTGGTTTCATTCTTTATGTTTAGATCTCTTATGGATTTAGAATTTATTTTATTGTATAGTGTGAGAGATTGATCCAATTTTTATCTGGTTCCATGTGATTATACAGTAATCTCATAACATCACTTACTAAAAAGTCCTCTTTTCCTCACACTAATTTGAGATGCTGTGGTTTTGTTTTTGTTTTTTTTTGGTTTGGTTTGGTTTTTATGGGGGTTTTTTGTATTACTGTACTCTCTCACTTTCCTTAACCTGATTGAGAAGTTTTAAAGTAAGCAAGTTAAAAATGAGTGTAACTATTAAACTGTAAAGTATATTTTTAGGGGTACCTAATGTTTCTAATTTTATATCCAAGTACAATTGAATTATTGGCAAGGAAACTTTAAAACTGCAAGTTGTATTACTTTAAATACTAATAAAGTGTTATTTCCTTACAGTGCCACAAGGTTGCAGTAGTGAGAGAAGATAAATTAGAAGGCAAGTATTTTAGCAACTTAGCAAGCTTTTCCTCTTAAGGCATCAGTGTAGGTACAATAAAAAAAAAATCTGCCACTAACGTCTCATGTATTTAGCTGTTTTACTGAAGAGCCATATATTCCTTTTATTAGTAGTTTCTGAAACATGTTAAAATATGGTACTATACTAACTTCCTATTTTCAAGGCCAATAGCTGCTAACATTTATAAAGCACTTTTACCACGGGATTTCAAAACTCATGACAAACATGTAAAACCTTTTATGAATACATAAGGAACATCCCATCAACTGTAAAAAGACAGTGTTCTCTAAATATTGCATTGTGTTCCATAACAATTTTTTGAAGAATATTGAAGAATGCTTTTTAAAGTCAATAAGACTTAGTATGACTTCTAAATTAAATTGTTTATCCATTTCAAGACTGTTAATGCTACTGTTTTATTTTTTATTACCCAATTCAAAGGAATTTTGAACAGTCAGGGTCCATGTGATCTTGGATTATGTCTTAAGACAAAACCTGCACTGTTGTACTTTGTATATAGATGCCCACCAGTGGAGTCTTTTTCTTACAAATTAACTTTAAGGTATTCAAGATAGTAGAAATGTCCAATATTTTCTTTCTGAATTCTGACAATGGTAGATTTATTCGTCCAGTAGATACATAATGAGTATCTATTCTGTGTCAATCTTTGTACTAGGCACTGGAGACTTGGAACAAGTTAGGTGTTAGTCCCTTTCTTCATGGAACCTAAAATTTGTTCTTAAGATGTTCTTTTGTGTTTTTTCTCTGCAGACTTATCTGGTTTATAGTATTTTTGTTATATATAGTTTTTTTTTGTAAACTAAAATTGAATTACGTAAGTGAGACTTCTCAGAAATTACTTATTCCTCAATTATATGCTAGTATAAGATTCTTCCCTGACTGAAAAAAAAAAGAAAAAACACACACATCATAGTATGATCAATCATTCATTAGTATTTACTGAGTGTCCACTGGATGAGTGATATCCTCACAGGTACTGTACTTAAAACTGACTCACCACCTACCTTTCATAATGTCCTTGTCACAGACAGAAGAGTTGATATTATTCTATATATATGACTGTTTGGCCTTTTAGAGCTTTTGGGATTACCACAAATTACAAATGGTTTTAATGCAGCAGGGTTTCTTGTTAAAGTCACCACCATGCTATGAAGTTTGTGTATTAACAGACTGCTTTTCCTGTTGACTTGTAGCAGTGAAGTCCAAACTAGCTGTGACTGCCAGCATACATGTGTACAGCATCCAGAAAGCCATGCTAAAGGACAGTGGGCCTCTGTTCAATACCGACTATGACATCCTTAAAAGCAACTTGCAGAACTGCAGCAAGTGAGCTCCTTAATGTTCCTTGTGGGCTTCTTTACGAATTGGTTTTGTAAGATGTTTATACAGTGGCTGCCTCTTAAGAGTGAACGCCAAGTCTAGTAAAACCCCATTTATCTTGCAGTAAGACACATGCCTGGTTTTATTAGTACATCATAAGGTGAAAAATAGCAGCCACAACCCATATTGAAAACCCCAGTGGACTCCCCATAAATCTCTTTCTCATGTATTTATCCTGTCATTACCAACAGAAATGTTTGTGGTGCCCCCTCTTTACTCCTTTACTCTAGTCTTTGCTTGTCTAAATCCTACTCATCCTTCAAGAACCAGTTCAAATGTTGTCCTTCAAAAAACTATTCCTAATTTGATATCCCTCTACCTTCCATCCAGAATCAGTTGATCTTCCACAGCCAGGATTGGGTCTTGTTTTTTTGTATCTTTCACAGCACAGGGAGAAGATGGACTATAATAATGCACGTTGGTTTTGGAAATTGATGGTCATGGGCTTGAGTTGTGGCTTTTGTTGTTTAATGGCCTGGTGGCTTTGGACAAGTTATTTAAACTGTTTTGAGCTTTGGTTTCTTCATCTTTAAATTGGATATAGTAATGTCTACTTTGTGAGATTGTATAGAGGGTTCACACCAGATCCCCAGACATATATTGAACACCTACTACTTTGACAGGTACTAAGGATAATAATTTGAATTAATTCAACAAAGATCTGATGAGTATGTGTGATGTGCCACATACTATAGAGTCGATGTGGCCCAGTACCTGCTTATGAAACTGATGGTCCTATGGGGGCCAATTACAGTATAGTGTGACAGTACTACAATGGGAGTAATAGGGTGGGAGGATGTTGTAGGGGGCACTCATCCTCCCCCGCAACCCTGCCTTTTTGGTTGTGGAGTGAGGGGGCAAGACAGAGGTGGCTTCTTGAACAGCACATCTAAGTTGAGGCCTGAAGTCATAGTAGAAGTAGTCAGAGGAAAGTGGGAGAGGAAGACCAGGGTTGAGAGAAAACATGGTGCTTGTGCAGAACCACATAGTTTTCTATGGCTGGAACTTAAAGTGAGGGGCAGGAAATAATGATACAAGGAATCAGACTATGATTTGATTACTGGGATAAGGAATTCAGACTTTATTACAGGGGCACAGGGGAGCCACTGAAGATTTTGAAATAGATGATTGAAATGATCAGAATTGCATTACAGAAAGATCACTTTGGCTGCAGTAGTGAAAACAGATCTGAAGGGAGTAATCTGATGGCAAGGCCATCAGGAAGGAGGTATGTTGCAGTTATTCAGGGTGGAGATGACAGTTATCTAAAGTACAGTAATGGTGTTGTGGATGGAGAAGTACAGAGGTTAGAGTCATACCATCAAAAACTGGATGGTATGGTAGTGGTTAGAGACCAGGAGAATGTGTATGGTGGGGCCATGGTTGGCGGAAGGAGGTGTTGATGGTGTTAAGGATGATGGCCATGTTTCTGGCTTGAATTGCTGGATGGGTATTGGTACCATTGCTAAGAATGGGAGTATATGAGGAGGAGCAGGCTTTGGGAGAGAGGGAAAAATGATGAATTGGGTTTGGACATGTTGAATTTGAGTACCCTGTGGGGAGTCCAAGTGGAGATGTCCATTGCAATAGATAGGTGAGTCTAGAGCTAAGGAGAAAAATCTGGGGTAAAGGTAGAGATTTTGGAATCAGAGAGAATAGGCGATTAATTGGGCTACAGCAATAGATACAATCATTCAGAGAGAATGTATAGAATAAAAGAAGGGCAGAAAGTAAAACTCTAGCCACAAGTACTAGCAGGATAACCTTGGGGAAATTAACCTCTCTGCTTCAGTTTCCTTGTCAGTAAAATTAAACTAACGATAGTATCGATTTCAGGGTTGTAGACAATTGAATTAATATATGTAAAGCATTTAGAACAGTGCTTAGCACACAGTAAGCACTATTTAAGTGGCAGCCATTTTTTAAGCAATGGGCAGAAAAAGGAGCAGCCAGAGGTAAGAGGAAAATCATGAGAGCATAAGAAGTTCTTAAAACTAAGGAAAGAGTTTCCAGAAGGAGGGACTGAATGACAGTTCAAACCTTGCTGAGAAGCTAAGTAAAATAGGAACTGAAAAGTGATGGCCATGGTAAGAGCATTTTCAGTGGAGTGACCTCATTCTGGTCAACTGAGGAGATGGGATGTAAGGAAGTGACACAGCAAATACAGAGAACTTTCCAGAAAATTTGACAGTAAAATGGAGAGAAAAGGGAGGTAACCTGCTACAAAGGAATTGAAAATAAGGGATGATGAATACATTTTTAAAGTTGAGAATGCCTTGAACTTGTATTACTAGGAAAGAGCCGCAAAAGAGGAAATAGCTGAAGATACTGAGGGAGATGGAATAACTGATAGAGCTGGGCCCTTGAGGAGAAATAGAAATAGAATTGCCAAAAATAATTTCTGTAAGTTCCGTTAAAATAGGATTGTGTCTATTTTGTTAACCGCTATATACCAAAATGGTGCCTGGCAAATGATAAGCATTTAGTAAATAATTGTTGAGTGAATTAATGATAGACATTAGTTCTTTTCTTTCTATAGCTCAAAACCTTGAAGGTAATAGGCATACCAATATTTATTAAATACACAAGTATAATTATACAGCTAAAGAGTAATAATTTATGTCTTTTGTCTTTTAGGGAAGGATTATAAGAAAATATCAACACCCTGATATGTTTATGTAAATTAATTATTAGATTTAAGAAATAGTCTGTTTTAAAATCTAGTTGTGGCATGTCAAGCTCTAAAAATCAACTCTGTTGTATCTAGCACGTAAGCAAACAAAAATAAAATTGACTGAAAACTCCAAAATGAAATTTGCATAGGGACCACCAATAAACATGGCAAGTAGAAATGTGATAGTAGGAAGCCCTTTAATAAACCTTTTCTTAAATACTTAAAATATCCTCTGTAGAAATGTGAAAAATTTATCTCTAATAAAGAAGTTTGTGTTTAGTCCTGAGAATTACAGGCCAGCTGAGATCTGACTCATTGTTTCATGTGTTTTAAGAAGTGTTGTGACAGGAAAAAAGCTGAAATTTTAGGATTGAGCAGATTCTTCTCTCAGACATGTTCCCAGCCTAACTTGGTCTCTTCCCCATTGCCAGTTCCTGGTCCTGACCCTAAGGTGTGGAATGTAGACCAAAAGGAGAAAGAGTTGTCTTAGGGCCAACTTGAGATGTTGTCAATGAAATAAAACATTGCTCTTTTCCTTGTACATGGAAGCCTTGCAAGGCCAGAGAGGAAGACCTGTGGGTGAAAGGAAATGATTTCCGTCTGTTCTGAATTCTGATGCACAAACTATTTGTGTTAATGTGGGGCTTTCTATGTGGACCATAATAAATCAGTAGAATGTTTTTGGAGCTGTGGGCTCTAGCCTGGGGCTGCTCAGCCTAAAGTTACTTCTGAAATCAAGTGATTTTATCAGGGATTTTTTTCTTAGGCCAGTTATTCTAGCAGTTAATCTTGAAGCTGTACATGATTAATCTCTAATATAATTGCTATCACCACATAGTTTCTTAACCTCCATCTTTTCCCACCCCAAGTTGACTTAAAATAATCTTTCAGTGACTTAAATAATCTGTCATTCAACCTGTATTTCTATGTGCCAGGTCTTGTACTGGGTACTTGAAATACGAAACATGAATAATAATACACTTAACCTTCAAGGAGCTCTCAACTACCCCAATAAGCAAAAGACTGGGGGAAATAAAATGCTGTTCTTTGTTAGGAAATGTTGGAAAACTAAAGCAAACTACAGCCATTTGAGAAGGCTGAATCGGTTACCCATTCACAGTATAGAACATTACATTATGGAGTTTTGTGAAATAGGCACATCTACAATGATTAAAGAAGAGATGAATGTTCCCTTTAATATGCTATGAAGTTTGTTACAAATTTCTTCACTTGGCTATGGGCATACTTGTCTGGGGCTGTTAGTTGAGATTATTAGAAATTATTATTAACAAATGACTGTAAAGGACCACAGGTTATAGGAGCCAGTAGCTCTGTTCCCAGCTGCTTCCATATTTTCAAGCATGATCCATTCTGGCTGGGAGAGTTGCCAGGAAATGTTAATATTTAAAACTCTTAATTTTGATTCAGTCAATATTTATAGTATATCAAGCCCTATAAGGTGAAGGTCTTTAAAAACAAGAGATAACCATTTGGTTTACCAAGGATAGTGAAATTACTAACTTTAAATTTTAAACTTTAAAATTTAACTTTAAATTTTCATATGGTATGGTAGAAGACACCTTCCAATTTTAGTTCTATTACTAATGAGTTGTATAACCTAGGACAATTCACTCACTTTTCTCCAGCACTTGTTGCATAAAATAATTTCTCAAATCCATTCTGGTTCTAAAATTTCCTAATTTTATAGTTTTAGGGTCAGAAAGTATTGTGTGGAAGAAGCAAGAGTTTGAAAGTACGGCTTGAAGTTGACATTAATTTAATGTGACCTATCTGTCCTCAGGTTTAGTGCCATCCAGTGTGCAGCTGCAGTCCCTAGAGCTCCTGCTGAATCCTCATCTTCTGAAAAGTTTGAGCAGTCAGATCTTCCAGTATCACCTGAGACACAAGCCAATAATGAGTTGACCACCAATGGTCATGGCCCACCTGTCCCCAAACAGAGTTCCCAACAGCCCAAAGGAATTATGGGCATGTTTGCTGCTAAAGCTGCTTCTAAAACCCAAGATACCAACAAGGAAACCAAAACAGAGGCTAAAGAGGTCATAAATGTAAGTCTTCTTTAAGATATGCTTTTACTGTCCAGAGTAGGTAACTAGAAAGGGACTTCATAATTCCAGTGGTAGTAGTTTAATTCACAAGGTTCTGATATTTAGTTCTGATTTTTCTAGTTTAGTTTAAATCCTTTAATTCTTGATACTCTCACTGTAAGTAGTCCTTTTTCTTTTGATAATACTTCTCACCAAGCTTCAGATTCTCCTGTAAAATGTAATGCTTGCCCTGTACACATGACAGGATTGTTGTGAGACCCAATTGAAATAATGCATGTGAGAACATCTTGAAACTGTAAACTACAAAGAATTGCATATTAGCAGTATGTCATTTGGCAACATCTTACATTCTGGGGTTTGCCATGTATGCCTGCCTTCCTAGTATATTTAACATTCTCATTCTATTTTATGAATTCTGGTTGTTTTCCTTCATTCACTTTCCTTAGTTTTTTTTATTGTTCAGTCATCTGAACATTGACTTAAAACACATTGATCTGGGCATTGACTTAAGAAAAGTCTCATTAAGATAACTATTAACAATAATCTAGAAAACATAATTATTGTCACTAGTATCATTACTTTCGTTGTCTTTTTAAAGCTTCCACTTTGGGAGAGGAGAGGAGAGGAGAGGTAGACAGAAGACACTGGCATCTATAGGACTTCTGTGTGCCAATAGTTTGATCTTTGTTTAAATCCTCTAATCAGTTCTGTGAGGGAGATATTATCGTCTCCATTTTGTATGTGGTGAAACTGAAGCTTATATTTGTTAAGTAAT